TTCTGTGATTCTGTGATTCTGTGATCTGGCTGTGGAAATTACACAGTTCTCTAGTCTTGATCCCTGGGTACAAAATTCCACATGGCAGAAAGCCAGAGTAAACCTGACAGTCGTATACAGAGACATAGGGTCCATAAAGGCTGGGAGAAGTGGTCTGTGCAACATGAACTGTAATAAATCACTAACACTTGTCATTGGATCACATAACCCATACATTTTTGTTTTTTAATGATTACCCACCAAAATAAGACTGAGGTTTATCCACCACCTTTAGCCAATGTTGCCAGCTATCATGAGTACCACCAATTCTGAAGTTCATAAAACAGTCAGATTAATTTATAGCAAAATGACAGTCAAGGAAAAAATATTTTTTCATTTAAATACAAGTTTTGATGAATACTGCATAAAGCCAGTGGAAAACAGGATAAAATGCTGCACTGAGTTGCCAAGGTAGCTTACACCAGATTAATCTGACAGCTTTTTGTGGTAGGGGTGGGAGGGACGCCCAAATAATGGATTTTTTGGATACGGAAAATGCAGTGGATCTGTAAATACAAATACCACCTGGGAAAATCATTTATTAAGCTGAAGAGAATGGAAAATTACAAAAAGTCTGCAGTGCTGACAAAGAAACAGCTGATTTTTTTCTCAAGGGGCACCATCCTCAGATGAAGCTGACTATTTTACTACAAGACAACATCATCATCATCTAAGCAAGGCTTCTGGAAGAAAACTGGTAAACAAACTGCTTAGTTTTGCATTCAAATCCAAACACTGGACATATCTTTTGGATGTGGCTCCAAGGAGATTACATGAAAGATGACAAGTAGCAAATCAACTATGAGAGACTCGTAGCTATGAGAGCATTTGGGACAATGTCATTGTCACTGGACAATGGTATTTGTCATGTAGGCAAGACAACAGAAAGAGTCTGCAGCAGCAGTTCCAGAGCTTCATATACAGTAAACATTAAAGTCCATAGTTCTTATGTTCATGGATACACTCATTAAATTGCATCATCATAGGAGAAGGCTGGCATTTCTTGCAGAGTGCATAAATAAGCATAAATGCAACTAAAAGGGTTCTAGTAATACAAAACAATTATTTAAAATTTGCCGAGTTTCCACTTGAGTGGGCAAAAGTTGGATGAGACATTTACTTCCTCCATTTAGTAAGATAAGAAGTATGGCTCGACAGAACAGTCTGTTTCATTACCATATTTGATAGATTTAATTTTAACAGCTTTTGTGGTCTTTGTTCTTTTATCTCAAGTCAGTGTTAGAAATCTACCACAGTGCTCATGGGAAATGTCTTAACAGCAAGAAAAAGAGGGTTTTTTCACTGACTCAGTTTTAGTTGGTCCTTTTTTTCTGTGACTTTAACAAAATAAATTAGAAAATTAAAAAAATCCCTCTTCTTCCCATGGGATCAGTTGCCAGGCTGGAGTTGCAATCTCTGCTTTAGCAGGAGTTTCTTGAGACAGACTCACATGGGATACACAGCCTGCACTGAGTGGTGCCACCTCTGGTGAATCCCTCTGGATTTTTTTGTATGAAGCAAAAAAAGGCATGCAAACTGGACATCTGTTTTTCAATCTTACAGTTGTAGGATCCATTATTAGCGAGCACTGAAGCTCTGCAGGCACAGTCTTTGAAAGCCAGAAGCCCTTGGATGATTACAACTATGTAACTTCAGAAAAGTCAAGAAGAAAATTCTCCCAGAGAAATGATTTAACTCTGTGTGTCACTCGAAAAGCTGATGCCTACTAGCCAGCTAGGGAAA